CATTTTGAAAGCAATTAATTTCTTCTGGATTTACTACACTGTGCCAAAAAAATGGCATTATTCTTCCATTACCTACTTCATTAGGCTGATGGGAATATTTGCTGAACTCTGTAGAGAACTTTAAAAACATATAATGATTGAGAAAACTTACTATTTTGACTGAAAACAGAAATGGGATTTTTAATATTTTCTACCCAGAATAAAGTCAGTGGTTGCTTCTGAAATTTTCCTTAATATTAATTTGTCCTCTTACTCTCCTGAGATAGCTAAAAGTAAGAAAAACAAAACTCAGGTTTCTTGTTGTTTAAGTTCTGTTTGGCTTTTTAACCTGCCATACCTTCCTGTAGGTTTTCAAGGAAATAATTTCAAAATTAAAGCGCGGTCTTTTATATACTTCTAATTCTTTAAGGTATTGACATTAATAAATTCACAGTAGAAAAGATTTAGGTGTTATAAAATAAGCTGCTATTGCTGTGATCTGAAACACATTCACACACACAAAAGATTCCCGTATGTATTTGTAAAACTCAAAATCTAAAGCTCCAAAATTACGCTTTAGTCCCTTGTTTAGACAAGATGAACAGATATATATCAAGATGAGTGTCCTTTGGAAAAAAACCATTTGTTTATCTGATCCTAATATGATAAGGCAAAAGAGCAAACAGGTATTACTAAATATTCATGGCAGCTGATTATGGGGGGTGAGGGCGTTGTGCTATTAAGGGTTAAGAACAGAACATTTGTGTCAGGAAATCTTATGCTCTTAAGAGAGCTGTGTCCTTCTATTAAACAGTAGAGAATAATCAGGCTAACATCCCACTTGGTAGTAATCCACTTAGAGATGTCAGCAAATATATTTATCTTGTTAGGGAAATTGCCTCGAACAACTGTGATCCTGAGATACAGAGAACAATATCCCTGGACTCAGCTGCTTTTAGAAATCCTGGAAACATCTACACACCAGCACATCTAAGTGGAGAGTGAGTAAAGACATCTTGGACACACTTCTTGTGCATTTAGTAGTATAGCTTTATTAAAAAGATACTGAAGGATAAACAACAGCTGCTGGTTTTAGAGATGGAAACTAAAATGCTCTGAGCCGCAGAGATAGAAACATGTGGTGCCATTCTGTCCTTCTCCCATTTGCACACAGAAAATAGTCTCTATGTCTATCCTTTGACGATTTGTATCAATAGGCATAAAAGCATGGACTATTTATGTATATATAAAGGTTGTATGGACCAATCTCAATCAAAATGCAAAACCTCAAAAAATGGCACTGAAATATCAAGTCTGGGTGTAGTTTTATCATATTCTTTGGCTTTTTCTGCCCTTAAAAGCATCTCTTATGGAAAAAAAAAAAAATCTAAACCCAGACCTATACTAAGAAAGGTATGGCAATGAGGAAATAAATATTTAACCAAAACAGAAGGTTCTTGCTATAAGAAAAAAAAAAAAAGGAGATTGAGAAATGATGTTTCCAAACCAATGTATTGTACAAGTGGAAAAAAGCAGAGTTCTTTACAAAGATTTATATACAAAAATGATGAATATTCAATTCTGCTATTTTTTGTAAATTTCCCATAAAAGACTGACAAAATTCCTTTGATCATGAAGAATGAGCGTCAGAAAACTGCACTGAATTACTTTTTTTTTTTTTTTTTCAGATTTGAACAGCTAATCACTGCAATGATACCAATATTAATATACAATTAGGCTGATTTTCTCCCTTGGAGAGATAAGACTGAGAGCTAAGATGCATCTAAACCACTATAACAATGCATAAACCTAATCCAGGTCTTTATGGTATTTAGGCACAATGATCTTGGAGGACCTTACAGAGCAAAAAAAGCTTATCAATGTTTAACAGGCCTCAGTCCAATATTTAATATAGGATTAGAGACAAACAGGAATACATATCACAAGATCCTTGGGGTTTCTGACCATCAGCAGCTAAATTTGTTTGTAATTGGTGCATATGGAACAAAACAGAAACATAAATAATGTTTATTCTCCTTCTGTTCACTTCTGTTTGCTTTAACCAAAAAGCTAATTTTATATAGAACTTATTTTCTCATTTTCTCCTCCGTTAATTTTTCACACTTTTCCCTGAAAGGGTTTTCAGGCAAGAGTGGACAGTGGTGGAACAGCTGATCACTTCTTGTTTCAGACAAAAAAAACCAAAAAAAAAACCAAAAAAAAAAAAAACAAAAAAAAATTAGCTTTAAGATTTGTCACTTCTCAGGCTTAGTTTCAAAGTAGCATTTTTTGAAGTCTTTCTTTAACAAGGGTATTTCAGTACAGCTGTATAGCAGAATGCATTATATTTTACCTTTGACCATTAAAAATATTTTTTCAAAGGATATAGGACTCTTGAAAATACTAATAAAGCTGAATGAAGCTATTTTCTCTGAGATTAAGCAAAAAAAAGGTTATAAAGTAGTTTTCAGTTTATTTGAAGCATTTTCTAAATGTTCTATTCGATGTTATCATTCTCTTAACTGTGCCAAAACTAGGTTTTATTTTTGTATTTGAAATGCAAAGTTATATGTTTCTTTCATTAACTGTAACAAGTCTCTATGTAGATTTTTCTAAATGCTTGGCATTTGACACTCACAAAAGGATACAGTCCCAAAGTAAAAAGAGTTAAATATGTAAAAAGGTTGAAATTATAGCAGAATTATTTCAAATTAAATTATATCTTCAGGGCAATATGATAATAAATTAAATTTCTGAACGTATAAGAGGGGACTGAAGTTCCAGGAAATTTGCTGAATTCTCCTAATATGCATGTCTTTTCTCTTCAGGCTTTATACACTTCCCACTTTTGGCAGGAGGCAAAAGTGCTGCCATTGCTGTAAAGGACATTTCCACAATGTTTTAAGTTAGACTCTAATGTTATATATCACTAGAATTAATTCACCTAACTTTTTAGCCTAGTTTTGAAAACTTTATCACCTGTGATCTTTGGGTATAATTAGCTGAAACTCCAAGCTTTGGATCAATACTTTAAATTGACATGTCTTTGAGATTTGTGAAATAATTGTCTTAAAATGCCATAAAAACTGTGAAGTTCTTGGTGAATAATTTATCCAAAGTGACTTCAGTAAGTCACTCTACAACAAGTCTTATTGATCTTGATAGTATTGCATGCGGCATGATTTGGCTGATCTAAAGGATACCTCAGAAGCAGGAGTGCTTCCTCTACCCATTCTTCCCTGTTTGAGAAAGAGATGATTCTTGCCAGAATCTGTGTTAGCTTTAATTTTTGATAGCAATATTGTCAAATATTCCATTTTACATACTTTAAAGCAGAAATTCAGTGTTAAAAGCTAAATGTCAATTTGACTACTTCAATATATATGAGTGAAAGAATGTAGGGTGTATATTATAAGGGCTTATCCTTTTATTTCTTCAAAGTTATTGTGAATAATTACAATTATCAAACTGCAATCCACAGAAGAAAATAAATACTACACATAAGTATGAAAGAAGAAACTTAGAATTAAAATGAATGCTATCATTATTACTTTTCCCCTAAGAACTTGAATAAGTTTCCTTTATATAATTGAATATAATCATTCATATATATACACAAGTAGAGTGAAGAAGTTCAAAAGCATGTATTTTAGTCACTTAAGATTGAGGGTAAAGGGAACGAGTCAACCAGAATATCTATTAATGTCTTATAGACATAATGTTGTCTCACAAACTTTTGCAATTTTTCTTTTTACAAACTCACAATCCAATCAGAAATGTAAACATAGACTCCTTTCTTAAAGTTGAAAAAAATAGATTTTTGGGGTTAAGTTTGTTTGTGACCTAGCTATGAATGAAGAAAAAAAAAATACTGTTCATAATGGCTGTCAATGTGATTCAAGTCTGGCACAAAAATTTGGGAATGCAGGAATACCTTCAGTTCTAATTCTCCAAAAGGAAAAATCAAGAAAGAGCACACTGCCATTCAAGAGAATCATTACTTTTGAACTAGTTCTTGACCTGCTGGAAAGAAATGATGAGGGCTCAGACAAGCTGCATGACTTCCTCAGCATTGATATTGCTGGTGGCATGCGCAGTTCTTGACTTTCTTCATTACTGCACTTGCATGCTGTGATAGAAATAGAAGGAATAATTAGGTACAACTGCTTTGATTTTCACACTTTTCAAATTTGCAGGATACCTTGTTAAAATATAGAAACATACAAATACAGAAATATAGTATGTGCATGCACAAGCACACCCATGCAAACAAACACAAAAAAAAAATCCATCCATAATATGAAATAATGCCAAAACAAAATTCAATTACTGCTGTACAGAATGTAGGTTACATTTTCAATGTTCCTGTATTTCTTCCATATTAGAAAAAAAAAGACATTTTTCTGCACTCCTTCTGAATACCTAAGAACATCCATTGATCCAGAAATCACAGCCTGATAAACATTGCTGTACACAGTGTCATGGAAGTAGCTCATTATTTTTCCTATATGAAGCCAGTACACTGCACTATTTATGTACATCCTTTATAACTGTAACAGATCTTTCAGTTGACATTGCTGAATGGTATTCCTGAAGTTTCACCCAAAAATAATCTTATCAAACTACTTGGAGACACAATTATTGTGCAGGCCCTGCAGGCTTTTCTCATTGCATAAACCATGACAAAGACCAATTTTTTAGGCACAAGGGAGGGAAAGGAACTGAACTGGAGATTAGAGGAAAAGTGGGATTTTGAATATTTTGTCTTTTGAAAATTTCTTTTAAACTTTGCAGAAAAAATGCTGAATGACTGCCACTTAATTTACAGGAAAAGCAAGACATATAGGTACAATATCCATGAAAATGCAGCTACATTACTATAGACTGCGCTGTTATTAACTGATACTTCATCTAATTACAAATTTTTAAAAACTGCAGTTACTCTGAAAAAAGATAGTAATGAAATTTACAAGCTTGAGCTTTTTTCTCTCTCCTTTTTTCCTGTTTTCATTTTCTTCTTAGATCACGAAGATAACAACCTACAAATATTTTTAAGAACTTAAAAAACTTTAAAATACAAAAATTAATATTAGCAATGTCTGTACACACTACAGTGTCTGTACTTCTCTATCTGCACATTTCCTATGTGCAGAGCCACTGGAGCACTCCAGGGGAGGACTTGTAGATTGATGAATGACAGAAATTGTTATCAAACAGAAGAAGGATGATACTATGGCTGGTAGACTAATGCGTAACTTAATAAGGCTACAAAACCAAGGAGGAAAGATGCCTTGTGATATTTCCTTCTGGCAGGGAGTGGGAAGGACAGAGGTTCAGAGAAAGGGAAGAAGAAAGAACAGAAAGTGAAAACTTCTCTCTAAACTAAAGGACCAGACTGACACAAAAATAAATGGATGCAAGTAGCCAGGAAGACAGAAGTATGATTTTATAGGGCAGGTGGATAACAAAACTCAGGTGGACTTTTGCCAATTGCTAAAGGTGTGATATCCCAGAGATCAAAAGAATTAGACTTGATTACCCTGAATGTCCTCTTGTTATGAAGAAGCACGATTATCTATGTCTCTTCTTTTAGATGCCAACAGAAACATAAATATTATCTGGTTAATGGTAGAACTCGACCTTTGAGATCTTTTCCAATCTTAATAATTCTGATTCTATTATTTTATGATCTATATGCTGATTCAAGTATGTTTGCAGATCTACACTTATTAAGTATATGTGAAGCATTACAGTGGCAATTTCCTAATACATTTTTCTACCTTTAGTGGTTGGGTCCTATCTAGCCATAAATCATGAATACAAGAAAACAGCAATGCATTGTGGGCTTGGATAATACATGCCTAGGAACAGTTTCTGGGGAAAAAAAAGGCAAACGCTCATGTGGGCATCAAATGAACAGGGCTTACTTGAAACTTGGTCCTAAAATATTTTCTGATGTTGTTTTAGCAGTATTTACAGATGTAAAAACACTTCCTTTTATGTCTGCCATCTCTTTCCTTTTTATCACCTCATGGTCTAACACTTTGTCACCCCTGATGGAGAAATCTTTGCTAATGTTCAATTTCCAAGGGCACAACATGAACAAGAGTAATAAAAGTCATTCAAGAAGACAGCAGCTGAATTTTAGTCTAGTGCAAGAGCTCTAGCAGGTAGCATAATGAAGTTTAATTACTGAAACATCATTGAACTTCTTGAAGAACCGAGTAAAGTAAATAGTCTTTAGTCTTCTGAACTAAAAAGTAGAGTGACCACTGAAATCTAAAAAGGAAGATTAACACAAATTATAATAACTTATCTCTTTATAATTTGACAATGATGTGCCTTTTAGATGACCATCTACTGAAAACTTCAGTACTGAAAACTGAAATTAGGTTTATTGAAACAAAGTCCAACACAAAGAGCATGAACAATACTCTTCAAAATTTTCATAGTTTAAGATCAATGTCATGATAGTTTAAAAATCGTTAGGCTTTGTTTTTTAAACATTACTTTTTTCATCAATAAAGAAGAGTTTTCTTAAAAAGAGATGAAATTAACAACTCAAAAAACTAATGGAAACATTTTGATCTGATAGTCAAGATGGTAGGAAAGCTGTTTCTAATATAATGTCTGAATATAACTTTTTTCATAAGCATTGAATGTCATTTCTACAACATCGTACAGATTCTCCCCTGGGTAATTGTAATAGTGCCAATACTGTTCAGCATTATAATTAATGACCCAGATGATGGGATACAGCACACCTTCAGTGATTTTACAGACAATACAATACTTGAAAGAGTGGCTGATGCACCAGATTGGTGTCCTTTTATTCAGGAAGACCTTGAGAGATTGGAGAAATAGGCCAAGAGCTTTAGAGATCAACAAGGGTAAAGGCCATATCCTGACCATGGGGAGGAATAACTCGAGTACCAGTGTATGCTCCATCTGGAAGGTAGTTTGCAGGGAATGTCCTGGGTGTCCTGGTGGACACAAAGTCTGGACACGAGTCTGCAGGTTGCCTTCGCAGCCAAGAAGGCTAAAGGTACCCTGGCCTGCGTTATGCAAAAGCGTTGATAGCAGGATAAGGGAAGTGATCCCCTTTCTCTACTCTGGCAAGACAAATCTGAAGTGCTGGGTCCAGTACTGGGCTTCTCAGTGTGAGAAAGATGTAAACAGACTAGAGTGAGTCCGGTCTCAAGGAGCTCAAGGACTGGAGCATCTGGCACAAAAGAAGAGGCTGAAAAAACTGTGACTTGTCAGTCTGGAAAACAAGAACACTCAGAGGACTCATACTCCCTGATGGGGGAGTAAAGAGGACAAAGTTTTCTCACGCAGAGGGCACAAAATGAGACTTAAACATAAGTAAAATTTTATTTGAGAGGAAGAAAGTCACACCCAGAAAAGTTGTCTAGAGAAGCTGAGGATTCTCTACACTTAGAGATATTAAAAACCCAGCTAGACACACTCCTGGCTACCCTGCTCTTGTTGACCCTGCTCTGAGTAGAGGCTTGGATCAGGTTATCTCCAGAGTGCCTTCCTGCCCCAGCCAGTGTGTGTGAGTTGGTCATTTTGTACTCCAATGAACAAGTTATACGGCTCAAACTTTTCTTCCAGAGATCTAATTGTATCTCTAGATTGCAATATCTTCTTCCATGCCTCCCTCTCATTAAACTTGACAGCATGACAGATGTTTTTATACTGCTGATAACAAATTTCTACCTGCCTAATGCACACTGCATTGTGCAAGTCCAGAAAGCCAATTCTGGTAAACAGAGGCAGCTCCTCAGCCACTAAACTCTTTATGCCTTCAGTCATAAAAATGAATTCTGATGACTTATTGTCTAGAGGGACACAAAGTAAAACTTTTCAACCATCTTTTCTTTATGCCTGGCAGTGTGTCTGCACATAGTAGAGGGAGTGCTCTAGCTGGCTGTTAGGAAGATTTATATGAGCATAACTTGGATGTTTTTCAACATATTTAGTTGCCAGTGTAATATGAGTACCCAATGAGTTACTGTCCCTCTAATGAGTCATAAGACAAACAAAGGCTTTGAAAAAAGATCCATTGTTTCAGACATCTTTTTCAATACCTAGAAAATGTTTTTTTAAAAAATCCCATAGATTCAGAGTTAGGGATTATATATATATATATGTGTGTGTGTGTGTGTGTGTGTGTGTGTGTGTGTGTGCGCACGTGCACGCGTAAAATATATCAAAGTGATGGCAAAATCCTGGAAATGAAACTCAGAATTTCTGTACTGCAGCAGGTTGAAGACTAGGAAGAGATTTTTAATGTAATACCACATTCTGGTTTAGTGGGTTTTTTGTTTTGTTTTGTTTTGTTTAAATCTGAATAGTCAAGAAGCACTTTATTCAAGATTCAGAATTAGGTCGGTTTGTGTCCATGTGACTGGCACTGGCACAGAGTCTTGAGGCTGTTATTTCCAGAGGAACAGAACTCAGTTTGATCTGACTAGAAATTAGTGCTGGCTTGGACAAGGGCAAGGTAAGTTTCTCATGTGGACATAGTCCAAGTGTCAGATCAATGTAAATTATCTTGTGCAGGCACCTGTTAAAATAAAATCACCTTGTCCAACACTTGGCAACAGCTGTTGTAAGGGAGCAAGTGAGGTCTGGATGCCTGTCTTCTGCAACAAGCTCTAAAAATTGAGAAAGGAAAAGGACAACCTCAACTGTGTATGAGGCAAACATAGAGACAAGTTGTGAGAAATCCAGGTTAGTCAGGACAAGATGATTCCAACTATTAGGAAGCTGTTCATAAGTTTACCTGATAGAAGAACTGCTCACAGCTTGTCAGAACTTCAGAGGTCTGTAACAGAATTGAAATGAATATGTAGCAGCTTTCATTACACAGAAGCAAAAAATAATTGACATCGACCACCTGCTGAGAGAACATCAGCACTAATGTAATGAACTTCAATTTGCAGAAGACAAAAAGTGCTTTGTCACAGTGATGCACAGATACTGCTGTACACTACACTTCTGGAAGTGTCATGAAGAGCTGGAGTCCTTAGAAAGAGCACCAAAGGAAAATCTTGTTTTGTGTTTTATAGAGCTAGACACTCTGGCAGCTTGGGCCTGTGTGCCTCCTATATGCCTAAATATGCCATTAAGAATATCCGTATGAGCATTTTCTATATGTGTTATGCATGTATACACACTCATAGCCATATGAGTGTTTAAACATATTTGTTCATATGCATATGCCTATATACAAGTGCATATACAAACACATATTTGTATATCCACACCCAAATTTATGTAACTGCAGTATATATTCATCCAAGATGGCAAACTGGAAAGCACAATGATTGATCATGAAGAATCATAAGAGAAGAGCTCATAGTTCCTAGAAAATCCTTGAAAAAGAACTAAAATATATACAAAAAAGCCTCAAAAGAGATGAGTACTATAATGTGAAGCCTTTCAAAGCCTCCAAGCACATTAAGAGTTCCAGTAACAAATATAAAAAGAGTAAAATAGCATCAGCTTGAAAATTTGGTATGCCCTGATAAACGAATGAAGAATTAGGAGCATGAGTGCATTCTGCATATCTTCCCAGAACTATCATGCAAATACAAAATTAACAAATCTAAAAATTGTTCTGTGGAAGATACTGAGAGAAATGAATCCAGGGCATAAAAGGTCAATAAAGCTGTTTAAAAGCAAGTAATTTCTTATACTAATGGCAATCAGAAAGAGGAAGTTTTTCAGTATTTATCTACACAGGTCCATGAGCTGAATTTTTAAAGAAATTTAGATGATGATGAGAAATAAATTTATGTCACAGGATCACTGACTTCAAAACAAATAAGGATTTGACCTGCTAATGCTGAAGATGTCTAACTGTGGATGAAACTGAAGAATTATATTTGCTAGAAGGTCAGAAATTTTAGAAAATAATGAATTACAGTTTGTGTCTTTAACAGCATCCTGTCATGAAAACACAGTCCTGCACTTCTGACTGTAGACTTTGATGCAATAGTTGCTAAGATCCAGCACCATTCTGATGAGCCCTTCTGCAAAAGGACTAAAGAAGTGTGACAAAATTTAATTATTATGCCCTTACCCACCAGTTTTTTTTCCTTCTTTATCTGACATGTGTTTCTTACTCAAGCTGTGCTGCTTATTCTGCTTTATGCAGTGAAAAACATCACATCAGGGACCCCTTTTTTTACAGAAATATCATATACATGAACATGTTCTGTCCTTAAACACATGCAGGTGAAAGCAAAATTTAGTTGTATGTCTTCACCTGCAATGAAGTTTATATAATATTTTATGTTCTGTGCACACTGATGGTTAAAACAACTTGAGTAAGTCTGATACGTTTTGGTGCAAGAAAGTGAGAACATATTCGAGCTGAATATATTTTTCTGTTCACTTAGTATAAGAAAACAAATCCTGCAATGTATATCTTCAGCAAAATCATAGAAAACTGAAAGCTAGCAAACAGAAATAAAGCTAGGATGTTATATAAGAATGTACAATTAAAAAAATAATTAACATAGTGAGTGTACAAGGCTCTATAACAGAAAAAAAATCACAGAATTATATAAGCACTGATGTGCTAGGTGAGAGCATGATCAAGAAAGACATACCTTTACTGGAGACTAGTACTGCCCTTCTCAGGGAGACCTAAATGTATATGGCAACGCAATCTGGAAATGGCATTGATTCAAATTACTCTATTATCTAATATTTATGATAATTTTCAAAATTTTAATGTGGCAATTAGAGGAAAATCTATGTAGACATAGGTTGATCATTTCTGTGAGTCCACACTGCATTATAAAAGGGGTCAATAGTCTCAGATGTTCAGTGCAGAACTAAAGCAACCTTCTTTAAATTATTCTAAGTCTTCTAAATTATTCAAATGGAAGGTATTCAGGTTTGGAAATTATGAGTTATATTTATTTCTAGAGTAAGAAAAACTGAACTGATAGACTGAATCCATTAAAAAAATAAAATGAATAATCCTTAAAAATATAACCCTAAGTTTCTCATGATGTTTTGAATGTCACACATTGCCATTTAAGGCTGAGACTGTATTCTGCATTGTATTCCCTCTTATTCATTGGCCATACTGGAAACTTTATGAAATTCTATGGTATCCATGTGAGCCACCTTTTCCTCCTGCAAAATATCCAGTCTGTCTGTTTGATATGTTGTCGTACATTTTTTAGGGGAAAAAAAATATTAAAAAAATCTTCCCTCAACTCCTGTAATTGACACACATTCCATGGAAAACAGCATATTCTTTTCATATGGCTTAAATTTCAAACTAGAGTTCTGTTGAAAAATGTGTGCTAGCTAGTCCACAAGTCTTCCTCTAGTCAGATGAAATTTAAAGTATTTCCTGAATGAGTATCTTGATATATGGCTTCTAGACAGTTACGTGAAATGACCTAATGGTTTTAACTCTGTATGAGAATAAAAACTATAAAACAATTTTAAAAGTCAACAGATGACTCAAGAACACTTCAAACACTCTGCATCTTATTCAAATATAGACCCTAAAACATACAAACTATCAATATATATTTATTTTTTTGGTGAATCAATGTCTCTTTTTGTGAAGTAGTTTAACTAAGGGACAGTTGAGGATTTTAACTGAGAAAACTGCTAGATTAGGATTATCACTCAGATGTTTAATCAGATGATCACTTAGTGTGACTAGTGGTTTTAGTCCATTGCACTACGTCTGTGAGTTATAAAGATACCATTGTTCCCATTTTCAGTTGTCAAGAAGGTGCCAAATGATTTACTGAACACAGAACAGAGATTTACTCATTATGGTGCAGGAAATCGAACTGTCCCAATTTTTATTTGGTTGTTGAAAGTATTTTGTACACAAAGAACAGTTATTATTTTCACTTATCATGCCAGCACTTTTAAACTAAAGAAAAGGTAACTGCAATCTGCAATTGCAGTCTGCTGGAGTTGTCTTCTCCATTCCACAAAGACAGGAAAAATATTTATAAAAACAATTTAAATTGCTTATGTCATTAAAAAAAACTTTTTGAAAAATTAAAGAAATTATAACTTTCCCTTCCAGGAAAAGAAAGTAATGAATATTTGCACAATTTGTATCAAGGTTCTAAAATCCAATATTTTATATACTGAATTTCATACCAGCACATATATTTACAAAGGGATAAGGTATAAAATGACCTACAAGTACAGTCAACTGGCTTTTTTGACATGCATCACCATGTGTTTTCAGATGGAATTATGTACTATTGACAGGAAATTCTGTATTTGTTGTGGAGCATCTGTTATCTTACAGGATCTGCTATGCTGGAGCAGACCTGTGATTAGCTCAGCACTCTGCCTCTAACTTGGGCCAGAGCCACATACATCAGAGAAAGATGCAATGTATTCGTGTGGAAAATGATGGAGCAACCTGCCTCCTAAAACGTAGCTTTGTGCCCTTGCCAGCTAAAGATTACCTTGTGCCCTGAAGAGAGATAGAAATTACCTAAAGGATGAAGGATTGAAGCTTCTTGTTTCAAGCTGTAAAGTCAGATAAACAGAAAAAGAAATACACACTCCAAATAGGTTGTTGCAAATATGTCTGCTACAGCACTCTTCGAAACATACTATCTGCAACATCACCAGATAGAAAATGCTAGATTAGATGGGCTGACAGATTGGTCATATCTGCTTTCTATTTCCTTTACAATAAGGGAATTTCTTACTATCCTTCAGCTATTTTACCATAAAATTTTATATCTATAAGAGTAGCCAATGGTGAGGATTAGTATTTTGTAAACTGTGTTCTAGAACGGGTATAGAATGTAATGTATCTGTGGTACTAATGTGTCAATGACAGAGTAAAAACACTGAATATTTTTACATGTCCCAACCTCAAATTAACTTTTTTTTTTTTTATAAAATGAACAGAGTGTTGAGAAAAGTGTCAAGAGGTGAAGAAGAATAACAGGCTAGTACTTGGCAGTACAATGGATAAACCAAAACTGAACACATTGAAATTGTGCACACTAAAGAAAGCAATCCTGATTTTTTTTTCATGGAAACAGTGAAAAGGAGTTACCACTGATAGTCAGTAAACACCAGTTTCTAGCCTTATTACTTAGTCAAAGATTTGCAATTATAATAAAGAGTTCTATTAAAGTATTATCTATAGGGGAAAGAGTAAAAAGGATAACGAGTGAAAAACAAAACCAAAACAAATAAAAATTATAAGGAAAGGAAGAGAGTATAAAATACTTATGGTCATCATATCCTAAAAGGATAGTAAGATATGAAAAGAAGTGAAAAAGGGCAGAAAGAATTCTCAAAGATATACAAAAACATCTGAATGAGATCTGACTGACCTTTAAACCCCAAGCATGCAACAGAAGTCTGTGAAATCATGGATGCCAAGAAGAATGTGAATAAGGAATGAGTGTTTAGTTCTTGTCATAAAACATAAACGGAATCAATGGACTGAAATCATCAGGCTAGAATTTCAAAACAGGAGGTTGGTACGCTGTCACTTTCCTCATAGTTGAACTCTGTGCATGCAGGTAGGTTATTGCCTCAGCTTGCATAGGCTCAAAACATTTCTCCTAATTCATAGGAGAAAAAAAACTTAAGGAATTGAGTCAAGACGGTAATAGCTGACTAACAGAGCATATGAGTACACCTAAAAAATATAATAAAATAGTTGCCACTTGCTGCTTCTCTGCCTGCCATAGACTGGGATGAAAACCACGGTTCTGAAATAAATGTAACTGGTTTTGCCAATTTCATACAACCCAACAGTAAATTCAAACTATTTCAATGTCCTCCCAATCTCTCCACAGTTGTTTTCTGTATCTTGCCATCCACTATTACACCATCATCCTTTCTTTATTTCCTTCTTATTAAGGGACTGTATTTAATTCCATCTTTAGGCATGTCTCAAGTGTTCCTACACATCTAACAACATATATGTTGTGTTTATATATATATATATATAAACATGTATATATATAAACATATATATATAAACATGTATATATATAAACATATATATATATATATCACATACTTTTATAAATATGATATATACACACAAAATTTTACATACATCTTTAAGACAGTTATTCTCAGAACTTTTCTGCTTGGCTCATGGGAAATTAGGACCTACTAGGTAATTTTATGGCAGAGTGTGGCGTGGTTCTAGAATTAATTTCTGAACTTTAATGAGGAATTTGTATCCTTTTAATATTTCCTACTAAATTCCAAGTACAGGACACTAACCGAGAAAAACAAAAACTTTAGTCATAAGAAAGTTTTGGATTCAGCTGCAAATTTTGACACTGATTTGAGGCAAAGCATTTTCCCTTCTGGCAAAATATTACTGCTCCAAAATAACAACGATGAATGTCTTCCAGCTTCCTGCAACAGATTTTGTCCTAAATTCTGACAAGACATGCGACAGAGCTGATTTATGACTTTCTTTTTTTATTATATAGTTATGTCTGTGATTGATATTCTAGGCCAATATTTAAAAATATACACACCTTTTTTTTTTCTTTTATCTCTAAATGTTTTAATACAATCAATAAGTAGAATGAAAGGTAATATACTTATTCTGATGACTGGACTTCAAGACAAATAAAAAAAAATTTATTATGAACTTTCCCCTTTTGGGTAGGAGACCCCAGATTTTTCCATTGTTCTCTTGGAATAAGACCCAATTTTTAAATAGAAAAAACACATAGTTATAATCAGATTATACAAATGTCTCATTTTCCTTCTTGTTCCTGTGGTTTAAATGACTGTGGAACTTATAAAAGTTCCAAACACATTGCTCTGAATGTAGTGTTGAAGGTACAATTTCAATGTGCTCTTATCCTATTTATGGTAATCCAAGACATACTGTTCTTTACTGTCTTGACACTTTGAAGAAGCAACAATACCTATTTAAGAAGTCATCAACGCAAACTTTTCATTATAGGCAGTGAAATGATGATCTTTAGAGAACCTCTAGAGAACCCCACATATGCAGGATAGTGCTGCTTGTTTCATTTAAATAAAAATAGAAATATATGTGTCAGTAACCGTTAAGTGATAATGATGCCTGGCAATCAGAATTAACTTAAAGTTTTATGGAAACAAACAACTTGGCATTCTCAAGACACCATTCTCAAACATACTAAAACACAACTTTGATTAGGTGAGCGAAACACACACTTATCCATAAGTGGCAAATTCTACATTAAAAGGACGTTTTCAACTAAGATTAATTTTGATCCAAACACAAATATGGAAAATTATGATAAATGAAATGAATATAGGGTAGGAACATTACTTGAATTCCATTTTGTTTATACTGGAATGTAACAAGACAGTAACATAACCACATTTTTCAAAATTTATTGGTTAAATTTTTTTGTAGAATATCTACATTAAACAAAACAAAATTCCACTCCAATAATTCCATTTTGTAATATGTTTATTATATCCATTGGCAACTAGTCTGAGCTCAGCTCTATCTCACCACCCTTATTAGGAACACCCAACTCCAGGAACAAATCCAGGTGGATCATAAAAACCCAGCCCAGCACTGTCTACACTTCAGTGTAAGAATTACTCCTTTATTCTCCTCTTTCCGTCTCTTCCACTTACATCCTGAGAGTATAGCAATTAATTCCACTCAAAAGACTGTTAAATTCTTATCATTAATTCAGCAGCAGAGCAGGAGGGGATCAGTGGTGTCCCAGAAAGACATTCTGCATCCCCAGACCTCTGCCACCTGTGTGTGGGTGAGCATACCCAGAAGAAGGGTTTGTGTGACATTTCTCACACGTTCTGCTTGCCATGCCTTGCCTTGATTTTGCCCTTGAATGTACTGATTCCTTGCAACCATTTTCTCTGGCACAGCAGAAATATTTTGGGGCTTTTTTTTATGTTTTGTTTTGTTTTGGTTTGGTTTTTTCCAATCTTAATCAAACTAGAAACATAAAACTGGGTAAAATTATAAAAAGTTACTTCCCCTGTTCTCACTGAGATTATGCAAGAACATATGAAAAGTCCACAGCAGGAGTGTTTTTCCCTGTATATATATATATACATTAAAGTATATATCTATTATATATAGATATAATTGCCAAAAGTAAACAACGAAAGTACAAAACAAATAGCAAGGAAAGAAGACACCCAGAAACATCCTAAAGAAGTTTGTTTTTTTCAACATGGTTATATTTATAGAATGGCTCCTTTATTGCTGTTTTGCTTTGATTACTTTCAAAAATAAAATTGAGAAGTCCATCTGCTTAGTTACCTCGGTTGTCTCTTCCTGGTCCTGATTCAGCTAAGGATCATTTTCCAAGGAAATTTGTATTATATTTTATCCTCAGTGAAGACTGAATGATGTTTTTTTCGTCAGCCCTGACAACACAACAAGACATCTAAGTGCCTGCTGCAGCAGAAGAAATGACCACTGTTTCTTTGCCAGGTGTCCTGTAGATTTCCAGTTCTATTTACCAGCTCCAACTGAGCACTAAGGCTGCTCAAGCTGCACATCATAAATGGGTCTGTAGAAACTCCTTCCAAATCAATTGAGCTCTTTTTCTTTAAGAACTATCAGTCACAGGCTGGTGGACACAGTCTTACAAAAGACATCCTAGAGTAGATGTTATGGCCAGCCACCATGGGTTTTGAGTTGGTTTATGCTGGATAGGTGGAAGTGATTAAAGCAACACAGTAGAGACAAAAAAAAAAAAAAAAAAAAAGCTTATTTTCTGGCTATAAATATTTCTTTTTAAACAGTTGTTTGTTGCTTTGCCAGTTTAAAGTCTTTACATTTCAATGGAATACAGAAGAAAATGTAAGCATTTCAGCAGTGCTAGGTTTGGTAATATCAGAACTTATCTTCCCTAACATAATTTTGCATGTTTTTCTCCAGCTGAAAACCAGTATTATCCCTTAGAATTAAATAGCACATATTTGAAGCTGTTAATAAAGCAGCTGTTTTATCCTGCAGTAACTAATACTAACAGCATTTCCAAAACCAGATCATTGCTGTCTCACAAGGTAACTCCCAGAAACCAACTAATAACATAGTGAATGATTAAGGTCAAAAAATCATGTATAGAAATCCAATGTATGGGATTTAATGATGGTAAATTGAGAAGGTAAAGGGTTAAGAAAATGTAATCCTTTCCTCTTCTGCTACCCATACAAATTGTAGCATATATTAATATGCTACATAGCTAGCATATATTAATATTGAGTGTTATATTCTATGCCCCTCATGATTAACATAAATAAATCTGTGAAGTTATATATATAATGTCACCATATGACAAACATCATTGTATAACAAATTTTACCTTACATTTAACTCTACTCATCTTAAACTTTGCTGGGCTGTTGAGGACATCAGCATTCCCAGGACAGCACAAGCTTTCACTCCAGAAGCCTTGATCAGCATAAAATCAGCTGCCATGATGGCTATTGACTGTTGCTTGACAGACTGAATTTCTTGTTCAATCACTTGCACAGCATAGAGTGGCAAAAGATTTTATGATTGCAAGTCCTATTTCCAGTACTGACACAAGACCAAAATGTGTTTTTCATCATCACAAAGCTAACAGTAGGAGAAAAAGCACTATTAAGCAGAGAAATGTAGTGATTAAATGTGAAGGTTAGGTTTGAGCCATCTCAGTTCTGTCAGTGCAGCAGTTTCCAGCACAAGAATTTCTGATATTTAATACTTGTAAGTATTTGCTGTTAAGTGTCTAATAAAAGTCACTGATTAGCGTGTCATGAAGGAAAAGATTAGACACCATTTCTTTGATTTCTCACTACAAACATAATTTCAGCATTTAGTTTACAATGTTCCTTTCTAAAATTTATCTTATGGCTCAGAATGAAAGTCATGGTGAATGCATTTGTATCTACTGTTTGTATAAAAGTAATTGGTAGCCTGTCATGATGTAATTCAGCCCTTTAAACTTCAATAGTCACTAAACTACTCTTTTATTATTGTTTTTATTGTTATTATTATTAGTGGAAGGTGAAAGAATATGTGCACAGAGGTTGGTGTCTTAGCACAAACACAAAATTGCAGGTGATGGTGTATTTTAGCAACATCTGGGAAGTTTATTCAAAAACTCTCAAAAATGGAACAAAGAAGAGACAATCACTTAAGTATGCACTTATAGTAAATGACTTCTGGGAAATGAGCACGAGCAACTCATGTCAAAGATTTATAATGCTTATTTTCATAATTCAATCTGCAAGTTTTTCCATTTGAAACAGACACTTATAGAGCAGGATAGAATACCCATGTTGGAAAGCGGTCACTACTTCTTGCACTGTGGTCTATGCAGCATTGCTTAATTTAAAACCCACCTTCAACAAACAGAAATCTGCAAATAAAAAAGCATAAACTCCTATTTCCTCATCACACTAAAAAAAAAAAAAAAAACCAAAAAAAAACCCCAGCAATCTATGGTTTGTCCTCCAGATTATGCACCCTTGTCTCTGTCAGCCTGCTGGGAACAGGCACTGCTGCTGCTGGGATACAGGAGACAAAAGTGGAACTTTGTCACTCTGCAGTCACAGGACAGATCACATACAGGATAGTAGTGACAGTTAATGACAAGTTGATGACAATAAGATGATAACTAATTAGAAAAGTGGATTAGTTGACCTTCTGGAAGACCTTCCAGGATTATGAATAGTGTTAAAAAGTCCTGTGGAATCAGAAACAAGTTCTAGGCCACTAGCAGGCTGCTTCGTTATAAGAAATGCTGCATTTATTTGTATACATTAATAAATCATTAGAACCCTATAAACTATCGTAAGAGAAAGATAAACAACTTTTTTGCAAATATACAAAAATTAGTAAAAATATCCCTAAAATAACAGGCATATCTCAAAATACCTTTTTTTCCCAATACTGATGTTTTCATTTTAACTGAGCTAAGCATTGTCATATCTATTTATGTTAACTATGGAGAAATTGGTGAAATTCTAATGATGCTAAAATACATTAACATTTATGTATTTCTTTCTTTATTTTACTACAGATAAATTCTCTAGCCATATATAAATATTGTAGCATGGCAAATTATCATTCCTGCAGATAACTTTTTTCAGCATCTTATATTTTAAAGGACATTTTACTAGATCACATTGCATTTAAAGCTATTTATTAAAATGCTTTAATTTATTCTTGGGTTTAAAAATATTGGCTTGGGAAATGTTATTTCTTTTCATGAAGAAGTGCTTCATTCTGCTTTAGTGACTGGTCATAATAAAGCAGTTATAGGCAAATCTGATAGAATTAACATCACAATATTTTGATATAAAATAGCCAGACATTTATTTTCCACATATTTACTACATAAAAAGAAGTAATAACTTTTTTCCTATCAAGTTTCCTTTTGTGGCTCTTTGCAATGAAGTCTTTGTATGTTCTGAAAGTTGAAAAATACTTTTTTACATAATTAGCTCTTCATATTTTTATCACTCTAGCAGAGACAGGAAATGAATTGACCTCAGACAGTATTAAATCTTCTTTGTAGAACTTTTGAGATACATACTGCTGTTACACTTAGTATATGCTTCAGATACATTCAGGACTCTATTCAGTGAACCAAACCCCCTCCTAGACAAACAGAGGCTGTGTTTAGAAGAAAATATTTCATTTTTTAACATTAATTGTGAGGATCTTTAAGACCATGGACAAATGGTCCACAATAGATATTCTGCCTACTGTCAAAATATACAAATATAATTTGAAGAAAAGAAGCACAACTAGGAATAGAACAAAAATTCCATACATTACATAGGAAGTCTTTCATGATGCTGAAGATACCAGCTAAGCTCTGCAAGAAACACAAACCAAAGAAAATATCCATGGCAAGCACCCACTAATGCATGACCCATTTTGCACAAGAGCTTTTGGAGTTGAGGACAGTGCCAGAAATTTCTTCCCTCATCTTCACCACTTTATTGCTAATACAGTCAAATTATAAAGGCAAAAGTGTTATGGTCCTGTGAGGGACTTCAACTTGCAGCTGGGGCAAGCAAGCAGGGAAGCAAGAAAGAATACAGGATTCCCCTTCTGCCGTCTTGATTTTCAGATTTTGGAGTTATTACACATTAATGTTTTCCTTCTTGGTGCATGTTTTTCCTTTAGGACTCCCTAGAGTCTTACTAGGTACTCCCAAGACACAGCAACTGTGCCTGATGCAATCCTACAAAAGTCGTAACATGGATACAAATAGTCATATTGGTACTTAAGATTCTAGCATTGTTTAATATCATAATCACCTAAAAATTGATTATATTTTATTTCAGGATCTCATCTTTAAAATTTTTACATCAATATCCCAGCAGAAATTGCTGTATTTTAACAAACACACTGTCAATAAATTAAAAGTCAAATTTTTGATTGGTTACTGCTATCACACTGTTGTTTATGTGAGAGCTCAGCAGTTCTAGAAGTGAAGGAAGAGAAAGAAAAAAGACTGACCAGCAAAATAAACAAAAAAAGATGCTTCTTTCATCTACCAAATTCCCTACCTTTCAACATTTATTTAGATATTCATTCTCTCTCTCCTTGTATTCACTATGGCACTTGAATTGTACACTTGCTGACTTCTGGATTACTCCCTCACTTTCTGTAAGAAAATGTGTAATCATGACCCAGGTTAACCATTTCTATGCTGAAGTCAGCACATAATAGCTCAAAGAGTGAAGAATCTGAGATAATGTGCCAAGATTGAATCAGGGATTAACTTGCTGATACTTACATTTCTTTGAAAAAAACTTTCCTGTACTCAGCCAAGTGATTGTTTTGTTGTATATTTCCATGTCTATCTGTTAGTTTATTTTAGAATATAATGCACTATAAAATTTTGTAAGATTTTAAGGATTGTGATTATTACATCTTTCTCTAGGTAGTACAGAAATCATAATTATATCCTAACAAAAGGTAAACAGCCTAGGCTCTCTTTTTTTTTTTTTTTTTAATTACTATGTTAGTAGTTGTCAATAATACTGCAGAGTAAAATATGAAATCATGATTCCTTTCTACTTTGCGCACCAGGAATTGCAATGCTTAACAATTCTACCACAGAATTTCATGTACACTGTATTTCACATCAATATATATCATCAGGATCAAGTTTAATAATAGAGGCAATGACTCCTCCTGAGCACAGAAAGGAAGAGATCTGCAAATACGGCATTATTCTCCAGGCACTCTACACTCAGGAAAGTCTTCTTCTAAACTTTATTCTTGCCTTCATATGAGCTACACTTCCCTCTGTCCTCTGATGTCACCCCCTGATATATTATGCATGATTTCTAAAATCATGTCCTTCTGCATAGAATTTTTTTTTCAGAGGGAATAAAACCACTTCCTTATAAGAACTACAATCTAACAACTTTCCTAATCAAGATAAGGAAAGATTATTTATGCACTAGATTTTTCAAATACATACAGATCTAGATGACATTCCTCTATCAAAATTGTTATCATGTGGGTTTCAGCACTTTTTTACTTGAATTGTAATAACCCTGAAAGTGCATCCAGTACTTTAGTAGACTTTGGAGAATAAACCATACCAGCCCACCCTTCTGACAAGTAGACAGAAGGTCAGTAGATTTAACAATACATTGATTTAAGTGTCCTTCTGATGGAAAAGTTGTAATATAGTATATCACAAAAACACACCAATTTTTTACATACCCAAATATCTCAGGAAAAGCTCAGTTTCTATCACAGTTTTGCATTGGGTATTTTTTTGTAGGAAGTGGATGTTGAGAACATCCAGTGACAAAAATTATCAATAAATGACATTCATTCCTCCTAAACCTCATTTTCCTGTCATTCAAAGGTGGGAGAATAGATGCATTTTGCTTAAAAGATAATGCACAGACTATAAAAAAAACAAACCCCTACTTTTCCAAATATTATTTATATTCATAAAACCACCAAGGAAATGAAGGCTTATTATTTTACATCACATTTAAATGTGATAAACTGAAATGGGGGAAATTTCAACCACATTTAAGTTTAAAAATTTTCCTCTGAAGATAATTAAGCGATCATTCAGGTCATCCAAAGGAGTTGTGGAATATTCCTTCTTGGAGTTTTTCCAAAACCTGACACAACAAAGCCCTAAGTGACCTGACTTGAATTGTTTTATATGGAGCTCCTGGCTATGCAAAGGTTGTGTTAGGAACTTCTGTGGTCTCCTCTCTCCTGAGTGAGGCTTGTCAGTGCAGAAAATTGCTCAGATTCATATCATGATTTGGAAATCCGTTCATAGTTCAGCATGGCATCAGGGGTGAGCTGCTGTGTTTGGATTGCATGAAAGAAAACTTTCCTCCACCTATAAAGTCAGTATGATTTTAATGATATGTACTCTCTGGACCAGACAGTAATTTGAATATTACTTGACTTGCTAACTCATAACTAAAATTGATACTCATGTTTCTAAAGATTTCAAAAAAAAAAAGCACACCTCAAAATAAAAAGAAAATAGAAATGTGTTAGGTACTTATTTAGTGTGCTGATCTTTGTAATGATTTAAAATAAGTTGGAAAGATTCCTGAGATCTGAAGGTCGTATTTTTGCATAGACTTAGATGACTATAACATAGTTAGATACTGGGCTGTTTTCCAAAGTGCCCAGTTACTAAGCTTTAATGAGAATTATTTGCTCACCCTATATCACTTAATCTGAAAAATGCAGCTATCCACTTACCTTAATTTTAGTGAATGCATATGCATTTCAAATTAGCCTTAAATTGACTAGTCTTTGAATTGAAGGCTTAATTTTTCTCATTACTCAGTCTAAAATCCTTTTCAGAATGTATATATTTTTTAATCTCCTGCTGTAAAATGTAGCCTTCCTTCTGTCTTGCATTCACTGTTTAATATAAGTGATCAAAAATACTACTTACTTTTTAAATAGTAATTATCTTGACCTTTTAAATTAGGCTTACCTGAAACACAAGTGACCAAAGATCATTATTTACCTGCATTTTATTTTCCTACAATAAGCAAAATAAGCCATCCATGGTAAAAGTCTTGTTAACACAGACACAAGGCTGAATCTGATGGAGGGGGTTCAGCTGCCCACACACAGATTAGGCATGTTTGATTCTGTTTCAATTTGCTGAGGTGTTTGGTAGGCGTGGATGATAGAAGGAGTATTTCATCTTCTGGGCAGGCAACTGGAGACCAGAAAAAACACTGTGGAGTGTCTAATATAATGCTAAATATTTACATTGCAGAATCGCTTCCTAGTAGCCTTAAATTGTTGAATGTTAGTTGACAGACTTCGTTTGTATCTTCACAGCCCTTTTTTTAAAATTATAGTCGAAAAAGACCTAACCTTTTATATCACCTAAGTACATTCACTACAAAACAATTAATATACCTTTATATCATCTTTTACGTATTAAATACGAAATAATGACACTCTAGAAAGAAGTTATTCAGTGACTTTTCAGCTGATGCTAGATATTCCATACACTATTCTCCCATATAGGCATCTTTTGTTACTCTGATGAGTTTGTAAGGGATTGATTAGACATGGTCCCTAAAGGATGACATTTATTTTAAAATTCCTGTAGTTACACGGAATTACATTGCAGTCCACAATTGCTGCAAGGAACTGTTATATTTAATTCTGTCAGTCATACCAGTAGATTTTCTTCTCTGGTCAACATTTTGTCCACAAAAACTTAACCACCAATTGCAACCACCATGGGTGCCTCCAGGGTATAAAACATGAAGCTCCACCTTTCATGAGGTGGAAGGTGCAGCAAAGTCCTCTTTCATTAATAATTCCTTCCATGCTTTATGGGCTTGTAGCATATGAATAGCAACTAATTGGCAGGCTCCCATATGAGTTTGATGTCACATAATTATGTGGGTGCAGCCCACAGAACAGAATATTACGTGAGATGGTACCTCCTTACAAAAGCACACAGAGGCACTGGGTGAGGTTCATCTCCCCTGCAAGAAAACCATCCAGGTCTGAGCTTTATAAGAGGGGGAGAGGAACAGTCAGTTACTCTGCTGTCATTTGTTTCTTTATCTCCCTACCTTCAACTGTTGACACCACTGGACTATAATACAGATTACTCACTTTCAATTCATTCAACTGATGACAAAATTGACTGTTCAAAAAAATTCCAGCCAGTTGCATGCAGGGTCCACACTCCTCACACACACATTATTGAGGTTTGTTTCTTTGATGCTCATGTTTACAGACCATGATGGATCCATGTCAGAATGGATCATGTTTAAGTCAGCAAAGTCTGCTAAAGGTATTACTTGAGCATTTTCAACTAAGAGTTATCTTCTCAAATCAATTAATCTTGATGCTCTTATTTATAACAAATCAATCACATCTTAATTTACTATTCCACATGCTACAGTTCTCTACAAAACCTAGCAAACAAAATTAATGATAATAATAAACATTTTTCAAAGTCCCTTTTGTGTTTCTTATTCCAGGAACCACCACCAATTAATAAAGTTGTTAAGGGAAAGTATATTTCTTCTATCTCCAATGACGACTACACCTGAATAAAATTTTACAGGCTTAATAAATGTAATGTAACTATGTCCATCCAAATATGAGATTATTTAACCCAAACAACTGAATAAGATATTGCTTAAGCAAATGTTTAATAATTTCTATCACGATTTAGTAATGTTTTAGTTACTTTTCAAATAAATATCATTTATTTTAGTTATGTGATTTACCTGATTTTGGTGGTGGTGTTTATAAGTGATAGTGATTTCTTTGCTACCAAATTTACATGCTCTTTTTTCTAAATGATGATTTTCACATTAGATTCTGTAAATAGGAGCAATACTGATTTTTCTTTCCGGTGGTGTCCTTTTGTATTGTATTTTAATTGCTATCACTTTCCTTTTAATAAATAAAGAACAATCATTTTAAATTTAATCTGAATGCAAATCTATTTTACCATTTGCTTAAATGCCAGAAGCTTTATTTATGTTGACATTGAGGTCTGACCTTTAGTTCTTTGGTCTGGAAAAATTGCATTTCCCTGAAAAGTTCTTAAGTATTTCTAAAAAGAAAGTGGCCTTGAAGAACATAAACTCCTTAATGTTAATTGTCAGCAATCAACTTATCTGATAAAAGTACTATAATTACTTGCTCAAATGCGACATATACCTTTGAATCTGAATATTCTTTTTAAGCTTTAGAGAAAATCCTAAAATAAAATGAGGAAAAATGTGATAATAAACAGTTTTAATCACAAAATCATTGTGTTAGCATAAGGTGAAGTGAAATTTCTCTGTGTAATAGAGAAGTAATCTTTCCACAACTCAACATACCTAATACATTAGATATTATGTAGGTATTGGATAAAGTTATGTATCACACTACACCTTTGAATACACATACAAATATTTAGGACCAAATCTGTGATTTTAGAAAGAAACTGTAAGTGAATCTATAGTTTATTAAAATAAATAGCTAATAAATTGTCATTTTCCCTCAATTTTCATAATTTTTCATTCCTATATGTTACAGAGACACACCATACACTCTACCCCATTTTCTGGGAAAATAAGGAAAACATGCTTTCAGTAATAAATTTTCTAGCTCACTCTTGGCACAAAACCAGGTAATTCTACAGAAAGCAAATGCATTAATCTGCAGTTTCAGAGAAAATCTTTAAACTCAGGTTTACCCTAACCCTCTGACCCATACTGTAAGAACTTTACAGAGGTGAATATATGTATATCTTACTACCATATTCTGAACATTAGCAAATCCTTCTTCCTACACAAACTTCAATGAGCAGAAGATATTTTGTAATTTTTTTTTTGCTTTACTCAAATGCTCAAATAAACCAAATAGCAAGAAATTCACTTTTTGCTAAGGCAAAATATAATTTGGAATTTGTATTTTCAAATTTTTGAATCAGGAGAAGAATGGAAAATTTTGGAACTGATTACAAAATGAAATTATAAGAAGACATTTCAAATCAAGCCAACGTTTTCAGTATATTCATCATTTTCAAGATATATTTGGATCAATTTAAAGTTTTCTTATATAGCACATGAGGATGACTGATAATGTGTATGTTCCAGAATAAGTTACTGGAGCATGTACATGGACTCTACATGTACTTGCAAATGCCATGAAGTAAAACAAATGCCCCAATTTTTACAAATTCACTCCCCAAATTCCTCTTCAAAGAGGAATATGTTTGATTGTAGCAGGCAAACTGGACTGAAAGTACAGCTCTCAACATGTAATTTCAATTTCCACCACTGACTTATGGAAGTACCCAGCTCCAGTTGCCAGTATATCTTTAAAGGAAGTTGGAAGCTTTTTTCCCCCTAAATGTGCAGATTGATTATGCACCAGAGAGTCTGCCAGGTGTACTGGTGGCAATTGCAAGAAGCCAGAAAATCCATTTTAACAGAAGAGGGATTCCTGAAATTGCCTGGTTGGAAACAAAGCTCCATCTGTGCTCCTGATTTCAAGTGCCTCTCCTGCAAAAGCTGGGTAGAACCAGTGAGTACTTATGTTGTACTCTGACTGCTTCTCCTGGAAAATACACATTGTTAAAGCTAATTTACAAGGAGTTCTGGCCTTTCCATATAAGATAACAAATTAGATATGCTCTACACATATGATCACTGCAGATTGGTGCTTTTCCAGCTGGGTAGTTGCTATAGCAGAGTAGCAATTAATCAATTAACTTTAATTAACTTGGAGAGAAATGAAAACACAACAGAATAATGAAAACACACTTCCTGAAAAAACAAACAGAAGATCATGAGGGCTTAGCAGAGGATTTTTAGGTTCTTTGTGTGTGCCTGCCTAGTGTATATAGGAGGACTGGAGGCTGAGGGGGGCTGTGAACCCAAACAAGGCAGATTTCCCCACAGAACACACCAGCCACAGAATATTAAGACTTGAGATAGAGGTGAAAGTTGGAATGAAGGAGCTCCTTGCCAGGCATACATTTTTTGCCACAGTGATGGAGACCCTGGGAGAGGAGATGGAGACAAAAGAAACAAGTGATACAGACTAGTGGAACAGAGCTAGATACAAGGAAGGGAAATGACAGCAGATATCAAAAGAGTATCTGAAAACTCCTTTGGCAAGAACTGCTCTTATTGATTTTTTCTCTTACACCATGGGCAGTAAATTTTGTTACTCTGTGAAAACTAAGAGGATTTATACCATCGAAGCCTTTCTGTAAAGTTATGGGAAAAGGAACATCTAGGATTCTCTTCCTGATATCAGAATTTCTGTACATTCCTGTTCATAAGCCTTGTATTTCATACAAGTTGCTGGAGCAGTCATTTGCATAGATACTCTGAAGAGAAAAACCAATCCTCAATAAAATCCCTGTGGAAGGAATTTCTTAGATGAAGGCAAACCTTTGCATTCTGTAAGGTATGGATCACACATCTAAGAAACATTATTTCTTGCTTTCATGTAAACTCATTAAGATTTGATGAAGTTGTAATATTTTTCACTTTCAGACAGGAAAAGTACATGATCAAGTAATTAAAGATTACATTATAATTCAGCTATTACAGAAATAAATGTTCTCAAGAAATGCTTTACGTGCTTTTCTGTTCCTGTGCTACCTCTTAATAACTTGATCTAGAGCTGCTTCTGTGACAGAAAAATATCTTGCTGTTTCTCAGCTGGGATAAGAGAGTTCCAGTGGGCTGATCAACAACAACAACAATAGCATCAAAAATAGAAAAGAGAAAGCCTGCAAATACACTGGAGAAGAAATGTGAAATCTTTTAGCACAGGATCAAAGACTATGACACTAGAAAGATGGAGAGCTGTTTGTTCATTAGAAAAAAAAATCAATTCTAAGACTAAGGATAGTAACTTAAATTCTATTCTTTAAAAGCATGGTGTTGATACTCTTTATTTTCTTATTATCTCTAGATAACTTTGCGGAGAAATTTTTATACATGCTTGCAGACACATACTAAGTGTGTGCAAAAGCAACTATTGAAAACACGTATTTTAATTTTTAGATCCCTGAGATAAAAGATCCTTGGTCTATTCTTCCACAACTTCTCTTACTTCACTTACAGCAGGAGTACTGGTGTTTTTTCTTGTATAAAATTATAGTGTTCTATGTAACAGCTGGGAGGATTTTTCAGATTTACTAACAGTAGGGATGAAGAAGTGTCAGTGTCCTTTGATTTTAGTCACAAGGATGATGGAGAATTTTGTGAACTGTGTTTATAAAACTCAGTATCCTTCTAAAAGACCTCACTTTAGTTTGTGTTGTGACGAGCAAAAAGTAGTCTTCGCCAAAATAGTTATTGTACATTACTCACAAGAAAGAAAGAAAGTGAGGGAAAGTGCACAGAACTGTAGGGTAGAACTGAAGTATAAATCTACAGCTGCAAGGTGACAGATAGAGTGGAACTGAGAGAAGACATATTTTGACAAATGAGAAATTTTCCACCTTAAGATGGTCTTGGATAAAGATTACTCTGCAGCCCTGTTGCCAAAATTGGCAAATAAGCAATGAAATTTTGTGGCAGTCCATATATGTTAATAACAACCAAACACAATTTTGTGCTGAAGAAATGTCAGTACCTATATTTGGCTCACTCTTCAAAAAAGATATTGAGTAACTATTTTAAATACAGCATGTACTGGCAGTGATCTGATCCTTTCAAATATTTTGCTTTCCAAAATGTATATATAATCCTAAGGCATTTATATTTGGTGAAGATTTTAAAAAAAGATAGTATAAAAATAGCAGATACTGAAGCATAACAAAAATGACCAGATTGTACTTAACCCTTTTTTAAATCCTTGTATAATAAGCAATAAAATTAAAATATATTCATTATACTCCAACTCAGTCGAAAAACTGCCATGAACTTGAGGTTATCCACTGATTCCTTCTTTACAACTTCCTGAAATGAAAAGTTTATAGCAAATCAAGATGAAATTTCTGTTTAATTTGCCTAATATTTCTTCAGTAGTATTCTGTGGAGAACACACCTACTTTCTTAAATCTCAGCACTCATCTGACACACTGATGAGTAAGTCCAGCACATAATTCATAACCATTTTAGGACAAAGTTATAAAATTCAAGCTTGTTCCTGACAGCATTTGGCTTATTCAAGCTTAATGCTAATACTCTTCCAGTGGTGTACTGCAATGAAAGATGCTTCTGGGTTTTTGTCTTCTAAACACGCACATACACACATTTATATTTTTTTCAGTGCTCACTAAATTATGAAAAATATCAATCTACAAGGCAAAACCCTTATATCTATAGTAGCTAGAATCAAAATATGTCACATATAGTTCTCTAATATATGTTTATTCCAGATGCACCAAAAGCTCTTGAATTCTGTCTCTAGCAAGCCATCAATCAGCGTGGTTGCACCTCTGAGTAATAACACTTATAATACATGTTACTATCAGCTTAAACAAAACTGCGTTTTCCTTGTATTTCCTTGTATATTTTCCATATTTCTTTGTAAATTTTTCTAGCCAGAAAACACAACTACTTCATGCTATCCCTTAGCAGAGGCTATTAAATTATTACTGCTTTTATGCATTAAACTCACCCCTTTCTGACAGCCTGGATTCCCAAAAAAGGTGAAGAAGCTGCCCTCAACTGGAAGCTTGTGAGCGTTTGAAGCTCTTCTTGATCCCAGTGTTGCTTCCAGAGGACACAGAGGAAGGAACAGTGTTTTCTCTAACCCATCTTCTCAGACATCTCTTGCCTAAACTGAGCTACCAATGGTGCCCAGGGAAGGAGAGAACAGTGAAGCTGTGGGGCCATGAAGGTTTTTCCACAGTGTGCAGGAAAGAGCATAAGTAATTGAGCAATACTAATTGCGGGGAAAGATGTCAGTCTATATATCAAGCCTTACAGAATAAATTTGTGGCTTGCCTTAGTATTTCAAACTCTGGTTTTTAGATGTTTAATAACTTCTTCCTCTATAAGGGGGAAAGACATGATTGATCAATTTCAATTGTGTTAACAGCAATTTATAGAGCATTTTATTGTAATTATTAAAATGACAGACTTTTATAAGGTTTTTAATTTACAATGTGCTGCAAAAGTGATTAAAGGGGAAAGTTGTGAAGGTAGTATTACTATCTCTTCATATGGCAAGAGATTAATCTTTTTGGAGGGTGCTGCAGAGCACGTGATTACATGATCAAAATTAATGGTTGTGATACCCTCCTTTATAATCAAGCAAACTACTAAACAGCATCCTCAGATCCACCTGAGAAAATGCAATTTTGGACTGTGATATATGGAATGAGAGTACATGGGAAATAACAAAATGCTCATCATCCAGGAAAAGGATAAAAATAGCTCCCAGTTCCTTGCTAACATAATGGTAAGAAGCAGGCACTGCATTTTTTTTTTTTTCTTTTTTTATATGTGGATGGGAATGATTTCAGACACTGGCAAACACCTGTAGGTGAATGAAGGATCAGCTATGCACCAGAAGAACATCTAGAAAGGTGTTAATAGGGAGCAGAGAAGGGAACTAATGTATCAGGGATAATAACTGGGCACTTCTGTTTCTAGGAGATTATTGAACATTATTATTTTCATGGTTTGGTATGATTTTGAACAGTTCAACTCAAATTTTCTGAAAATGTGATTCGCCTTTTTAACTTGCCATCTTTTTGTAATCTCCTAATGGTTCAAATTTGTAGAATGTCACTGTAAAACAACTAATGGAGGATAGCTTCAGGGAGTGATATATATATGGCGTTTATAGACAGAGATATCATAGATGTAGTTATAGATAAAATTCTATTTTTTTCCTTAAAAATATATTTTCAAAATACTTGCAAGCACTTTGGCAACCTTTCATGACCTTGCCAAAGAAACACTTAAGTGGAGCCACTTCTCTGAGACCACCACTGCAGTCCTGCAGGGGAGCCAACAGGTATTTCAAACGTGGCAGGTAAAGCAAAAATAGAACACAACAAAAGCAAATATACAGGGTAGGGAGTGTATTCTACTCAAATGTGAGTTGACTGTATGTGTCTTCTGCTTTCTCCTGACAGGTTATTTTCCCCCTAACAAATGTGTTGTGAGCATTCTACGAGGAGTCAAAGGCTGCTTGATGAGATAAAACCTTGTGAGTCTTTTTAGCTTCCTAGGGCATAATATACCAGGAACAACATTCTCAGAACACGTGAACCCTGTTTTAGCCTGATTTATTGTGACAAACTTGCTTAAATACAGCATTTTTCATATATTAACATAAGAAAAATCTTAACATACAGAATTTAATCCAAACTATTCTGACAAATGCAATTTTTCAAACTTTTCTTTTGTAAACTCTATCAAGTTTCATAGAAATTTATGCAGATAAAAAATATTTCAGTATCTAAGTTCTTTTATAATGTTCTGACCACAGAGATTGCTCATAAAAATTTGAGCTATTATTTTCCCTTCTTAGATTTTCTTTTGTCCCTCAGATTCATAGTGCCCCAAACAAAAAGGCTGAGAAAATTTTATGTTACAAAAGAGTATGAGATCAGCTATGGCAGATTGCAAAATGCAAAATAAAAATTAAAAAAAAATTAGCAATTTTTAATTGTATGATACTTGAGTTCAAAAATATTTCACATAAATCATTACCCTTTTACTTCTCTTTGTTCAAGCATGAAGTAACTATGCTGCCAAGTTAAATGTGATGTGGAAGAAACTTAACCTTTCATTCCAAAAAAGAAAAGTTCTAATTTTCATAACTCTAAGACTTAAAAATTATTATTTGAATTGTGTAAGATAAATAAAATATGTCTGTTTGAATGACTAATATCTTTTATCCAATTAAAAATTTACTTGATAAATTTTTACATATCTGTCATCCAATGATCTCTTCCTTGCCCTGTTAATTTGTAACATTGTTTTCTCCACTATATTAAATTTCTATGAAATGGTAATGGCTTTCAGATTACAGAGGAGAACAAATGGCAGAACTTAGTACTCAGAATGTTGAAAGAAGAATGCCTGGTTCAAAGAAGAAGCATGCAACTTTCCATAATGAATTCCTAGACTTTACCCCATCTTTGATATTAAAAAAATTCTACTTCCAGGGTATGTATCTATGTTCCACTTAAATATGATATTTAATCTCATATAAATAGAAAACAGAAGTATAAAGAAACAGAAAAGTATAAGTTGCTAATTTCAACAGTTCTTGTCGTTTTTTCTCCTGTCTTTTTTCTTTTTTTTTGCAGATGCACTTTACATATGAGAGAAATGCAATTAGTCTTAGCAAGAAGTTCTTTCTGAGAGTATTTCAAATGTACTAGAGGCAGTTATAAAAGAAGTTTCCACTGAAAATTCATTAGGTTTCATTTGAAAGGGCCAAAAGATATTTGTGATCTTACTCTTCATGAGAATTCCGAACTAAAAGGAGGTTTCTAGCTTATTTTCAGCCCATGAACTCCCACTGATACAATGTGGCTTTTTTAGAATTCTTACTGGGAGTCTAATATCTTCACTGTCTTCAAAAATCACCTTTTTGCAGCTGAGGTATTTTTCAAAATTCAAGCAAGACCCAAGAGACCACTTTAGAACTCCAAAATACCTAGTTTCCTGTCAGCCTTTTTTCTCTGGGTACTGGTTTGCATGACTTTTTACTCTCAGCTTGTTCCTTAGACAGCATACTCTTTGAGAACATTTTAGCATAAAATACAGCTCAGGAGGAAATAATATATATTAAAAGTAGCTGGAATTTCACATACATGAAAGGCCTGCACACACTTGTTTTTAGGTTTAATTACTTTTAGTCTTCACTCCAAGATGTAGACGCTTTTATGAAATACAGAATAAAAAAATCAGAAGATATGAACTTACCAGCCACCTTTCACTGCATGTGCCCCGACTATGTTTCATATAGGCTATTTCCTACAGACACTAACCGTATTTTTTTCTTTTATATTTTCCTTAATACATCCATTCAACTCACCATGGGAAAAATGAAGAAATGTATGCTAGTACCTCAAAGTCATTAGATCAGAGTCTGTCACAGCAAAACAGTGAATTCCAAAATAGAGGGTACCTAACAGAAAAATACAAATCATCCCGAAAAGCAAATTAATGTCATGCTACTTGTGTTTCCTGTTGAGTGCAGAATGGAAATAATGATCATTTTATTCAGTAAATAGAACAGTTGGCCTTGAAGGAAATTTCAACATGTGAGGGTTATAATATAATCTTTTCCATTTGACATTTTGTGTTCTTCTCTGTAAGTCAAAAGGGGTTTGTTTGTGTTTTTCTTTAATCTTTTCCTTTGCTCTAATATACCTTTGGATACATTTTTTTTCCTCTCTTCTGATCGGCAATAGTGATTGATTTTGTGATTACTAATGGTCATAAGAGATTTGGGATGGTCACAAACTAAGTCACAGGATTGTGTGTAGGCCTGGACCTAACACTGAAGTTTAAAATTTTTGTCTTTCTGAAACTTCTTCAGAGCTACTTATAAGGAAAGACTACTCCAGACATCTATCCTTTTTAAAAAATATTGAGAAATAAAAAGGCATTTAAAATCTTATCAGGGCATTTATGAAATAGGAAAAAAAAAAAAGATTTAATTGCAAGACAGTGAACAAAGGCAAAAAGATAAACCCCATTGGTAACAGAAAAATGTTGGACTCCATTTAATTATTAATCAAGATCCAATGGAATATTTTGACTTGTCCAACATATTTTAAAATGCATTCAGTTAAATCAAAACTTTTATGTCTCTGATATACTTAAAAACATTGAAAGTTTTTGAAAATATAATCTTGAATTCTATATATTGTCACTGGGTTTTTATAGCATAGCAACACAAGGTTTTTAGATATAAGGCGCTTGGAAAGACATTTTTGTTATGAAAGCTTGTGGTTCTAAAGGTCATAGTAGAATGAAGTTGTCCCAGCATCCTCACTGTCTTTTCTTCTCAATGGGGTAAAAAAAAGACTAAAACTGTACATTTTAATATGATGGTCACAGCTAGTGTTTAGCCAGGCACTGCTGAACTTTTTTTAGGAGCAGAGCACCACTGAAAAGGCTCATCTAACCTAACGGAGTATGGCTTCAGGCAGCTGGTGTTCTCAGCAGACACTGAAATGGAGAAAAACAGATTTTCTAGGCTCAGATTTACCTGCCTTTCTCTTTCAATCACTTTGATTCATATAAGCTCTTGATCACTGCTGCCCTGTGCCTTGCAGAGTGCACCTGGTGCCACAGCCTCCAAAGAACAAGGTAGACACAGTGGTGCAGTGCCAGCAACAACACCTGGGACACAAATCTGTCACCTGGTCACCTTCTGACACTGCCTGAGCATTCCTCTCTTACTCAGCATGCCAGCCTGCTCTGTACCTTTCTGAATCATTGACTGAATTAGCCTAGTACCTATCCTTATGAGCCAAGATTGATCAGTTTTAAAATAAAGAAATTACATTTTTATTAACACAAATCACTTGGTTTCCTCTAATTTCATCAAACTAAACAGATTACTGTGTTTATGCCTATTTCCCCTATTTCAACCTGGTCACACAGCCATGCTGACATAGCATTTCTGGTTGTGCATCCAACAATCCCTCTGAATACTTCCTTCTCTGCCCTTTCTTGCTCTGCAAGTTTGCCCAGCATCTTAGGAAATGTTGCACCTGACCTTTTCAAAAGGGCAAGGCTATGTCTTTGTTTATACTACTGATAATCACAGATTTCAGACTAAATGTCCACCTCCGTTTCAACATTGCTAGACATAAATATCCTACAAGTTTTATAAACACTATTCTTCCATCTGGCAATCAATCTGTGTTACGGTGTGGAGGTGATCAGTCTTTGTTCCTCCAACCACAGAACATGCTTAACACAAATTACATTCTTCCACAACACATAAATCTCTTCAACTTTGTCAAATAAATGTTACCCTGCAGTTCCTCCTGTCAGTTATGGTATTTTTGCAAGTTCAGGTGTGTGCATTGCATGTGCAAGACTTCTGTATTGGCAGTTTGAATGTGTTTGAATTTTACAGTATACATGTGTATCAAAATACAAACTTTAGTGAAAAACAACCCTTCAGTCAACCAACCCCTAAAATGTTCACAAATCAGGTGAGTTTTCTTTTTTGTCCTTCAAGGATTGAGGGTGACAATGCATAATTTGAAAACTGTTTTTATTCAACTGGAGTTGAAATGTGTGTGTCTCTGTGTGTGTGTGTGTGTGTGTGTGTCTGTGTGTATTCATGTGAATAGATAATGAGAGGAATAGCATATTTGTCTTTACAAACAAACTGTGGGTCTGCTGGTAGATAAAACTAGCACTGAGAGATAAAAGAAACAATGGGAAGGATTCCCCTGATTAATGAATGGAAAAAGATATTTGCTTTTACAAATAAACTCTAGTTTTGCTGATAAATGAAATTAGACATTGAAAGATGAAAGAAAGATTGGGGAAAAATAGCCTAAATTCCATAAAAATTAAAAATTAAAAGGTAGGGTTTTACATTAGAGGGAAATGTTTGGTATCAGGTGTATCGGGAAGTCTGCACCTCTCAAGTCAATGGGGAAAGAGAGAAGGGAAATGTGGCTGGGAAATTAGAATAAAAAGGAGGCTGTGTCCCCCAAAAATTTAAGAGATCACAGGGGAATGCCCCATGGTCTCTCCCTTTATTCAAATAAAGTAAAAGGACTCCTCTGTCTCCTTTTTGGACATAAACTCTGATGTTTGTGGATTAATTTTCCTGGCAACATGCATGTCAGTTGAGAAAAAAACCCCCAAACTTTTATCCTCATAGAAGATTACAGCTAATTAGATACTAACAATATCAAGGAGGAAGTCAGTTCAGAAACCCATGACCTGTAAGGTTAGGCCAAATATACAACATTAAAATTGAGTAAAGTGTACATCTAATCTTGATATTTAAGATTTAAATAGGTCACTATCTTCTCTACTTTTTTTGCTTTTTCTCACTTGATAAACAATATTAAATGAAAAAGGAAATAGAACCTCAAGGCCATTCCAAATTATATTCAATTAAATTACCTCATATTTGGGCTTGCTTATTATATATTTCTTAAATATGCTACTTCACTGAAAGGACAAGACCTCGTATTCATACACAATGACATGACCTTTAAACCTCAAGAAACTTTCTCACCCATTGGGAAATTTGACTCCTGAAAAAAAAAAAGTCAACTAAATGTGATACCAAATAAGTTAATCTATTTGTTAAAACAAACAACAAAAAATGGTTGAAAATATGGCTTAGTCTTAATTTGCATGAATAAATGAAGTTACAGTCCAATTACCATGTTAATCTAATTACTGCTGGACAGATTTCTGAGTACATCTGCCGACTTTTTTGTCAGAACTGAAAGAGAAAAACAGGGAAAAATGTGATAATATTTGTATTGTCTAAATCCCTTCGGCAGCTGCAGTCTAATTTGTTTTGTAAGACAGAGCAACCACAAAACTGCTTCAAATGGTTTTGCCTAATGATTGTCTCAGAGGGGCCATTACAGTGTCCTCACCTATCAAAGCACTGGATATTAGCTGCATTACCTTCATTTTAGCCTAGTACTCTGTGACCTCTAAGGAATCCTTCATTTTCCTGTTTAGGAAAATTTCTGTCTCCATTTGCCATCATGATTTGGTACAATTTTGGCCTATTTGACATAATCTCTCTTAAAAACATTCATTTCATTTCTATTCATTTCATTTCTCTTTGTGAAAATGGAAAGAGGAAAAAAGAGAAAACTAATTCTTTTGTGTCATACTGAACAATATAATTTTAAGTGCTTAACCTTTCTTAATATGCTTAAAGCATCAAAAAATAAATAGCTGCTGTCCTTTTTTTAACCGCTCGTTAATGAGATAGAACACTGTACACAAACTCATATTTTATATGAGATGACATCACATTAAATGACTCTTCAGAATATTGCAGACATTTTAAATTTTTTTTTCCTAAAGTGAAGAATTTACCAAAAAGTTCAACACATAGAACATTTAGAGCACACATTCAAACCCCAGTTGTACTAAACCTTTTGGATAAAATCCATTTGCAGTCTCCAAAACTGATTTCTAATGTGATAGCTCTAAAACTTGGATGTCACATTTCTTTGTGTGTCTTGGCTTTGTCACACCATACTTTGCATTCTTGCCTCTTGAAAACCCAGTCACCCATCCGAGCTGAATTAGATCCCCCAGCTTAGAAGAAAGAGGGGCACGCATGGGCATCAGCCTCTTGTAGTGCAGGGGGCAGAGCACAGTTTGGGTTACTGCAATGCACCAAGAAGCTTTCAGATGATAGCAGGTGTACAAGGGTCTACAGAAAAATAGTACTAAATTCCCACTGAGGTTTAGCATGGAGGTATAATCTCTGTTCCATTTTTAAAATAGATTACTATGGTGCCTAAACAGAGACAACCCAACAACACGGTGTTTCCCCATTCACAAGTTCATACTAAAGACCTTCAAAAGCAAAAGAGCACTAAGATACACCTCTGTACTCTGTATTAAGTATTTCCTATTGACTGAAAACTTGGCATTCAAATTATTATGACCTTCTCCCTAAAATAACACTCCCCAGACCTTGTACAAGAAGGATTCTAGTCAGCCTAACCAGTTCATAGATAGAGAGCCCAGTTTCCCACTGCTTTGGAAACAGTCTAACAAAAAAAATACTAAAAATCATCTTATGAATGCAGGAAGGGTTTATTGAACTTGTACAGCAAATACAGATCCGTTGTCCCAAATTTTGTGAACTCTTTCATGAGCTGTGGACCCCTTTGGACTACAAGTCTCCATGTCCTTTCCACAGAAATTAGGGCAAAGAGGGACGACCGCATGTTATCCAGTCTTGCCTGCATGGGGATAGGATACAACCCAGACATTATTTCAAGAGATAGAAGATGGCAGTTGTTACAATATACAGAGTTGAAAAATAATCTTAGAGAGTTGGATTCTCAAGAAATGTTATAGAAATATGACATTATTAGGCTACTATGGCTTAAATGTCAGTATTCGAAACTGACAGAAATTCTAAACTGAAAGTTCAGAATTTCACTGTAGTTTAATACTTCTCTTATAAAGTTTATATAATATAATTCTAAAGCAAATGTACTGCAGAGGCTAAAAGCTAGAAATTTATTTGTATGCTATCAGATTCTGTTAAAAAGGAAAGTATTAACAAATTTCTCACTTTTATCTGACATTTTAGCCCTGAAATGTGAGATTACAGTTCTCTTAAGAAGTCAAAGTATGATCTAATACCCAGTGAGGAACTTGGCAAATACAGAAAGAAAAACTGGGACCAGTCATAAAATCAATATAGAACAGATTTTACCATTACAATTCCTACAAATCCTTCCAGGCAATGATAAACTCAGTAATTAGATATCTGACCTTTCCCTTTGTTCACACTACCGAGTGTTAAACTTTCCACATTACATATTACTGTTATTTTTTAATGATTAAGTGACATTACATATTACTGTTGGTTTTAATGATTAAATGATCTAAATGTTCAGCATATTAACATCCTGCCTAAGAATCAGTGTTCCTTCTTTCACACACCCTATTTTCAGCAGTTTATCAATTTGCATATGACAATATTCCCTTTTTACATGAAATGGCCCATATTTTTGGCTCAAATTTGCAATCATTTAGAATACATTTCTTGTGTGCATTGTTTCATCGCTGCAAGGTGTTGATTCAGAGAAGAATAATGAATTGAAGATTAGCAGAAAATATTATAAAAATAGAAATCATTCATTCCACTCTAAACCCCACACATCATGACTAGTTTAATGGTGCAACATATAAAGTTTACTTCTCCAGTAATTCTTTTTCAGCTGAAAATGTTTTCTGAACAAATAGGTAATTATTATCATGAATAATAATTAATATTATTCAGAGTACATACTGCAATAACAAGTTTTATTATGTACGTCACCACATTAGTATGAAGGACCATTTGTAGAAGGAAATGCAAGAGTCCTTCCAACTGGACTGGAAATATGACTTACAATTTGCACAATGAGGAAAATTTTTCAGCAATAGAAGATGGAAGGGGAATATATATTGCAAATTAAATGGGAAATTAAAAACAAACAGGCTGTGAAGAGTCTTGCAATCTATTTTGTCCTTAAACCTCAAGTCCTTATCTCCTATTTTCCCTAGCTTGTGTCACTGCAGCACTGAGGACAGGCTATACTTTGTGAAGGGAATAGTGTGTGTATGATGTCCAAGTTTGTCTGGTTTATTTTACTGTCTGCAATGCTACCTTGTTTAAAGTATTCTGTATGGACAATTATTCATGTTGCCTCTGTAGACCGACATATCTATTAAAGGGAGCAGGAGGTTTAATGAGATTGATCCACCCACAAAAGTGAATAAAGTTTTCCTACATACAGTTTGACCTTAAAAGTTCATTATTTTTACAAACCTAATATTGCTGGAAACATGGAACTCTTTTATCTTGGCCTCATCTACAATTTTGAATTTTTAATCAGCATACTTCCTGAAATGGAAAATGTAAATGAACAAAGTTGTATTTTGTTAATTTGATTATATTTCTTTGAGTTTCTGTATGAGTTCACCCACACATACAGATATCCACCTTCGTATGCCTCATTTTCATGGACACTCATTAAGATCAATCAAAATTATCTTTAAAAATGGATTAGTTAAACTATATTAAACTCCTGCCTGGACACTCTCATTCAGAATTAAGGAGGGCTTGCATTTGGTTTGATTTAATTTATTCAGGATGTGAATCCACTAATCTACTTTAATTAATGATGCTCTGAATTCACGACTTTAGTCAATTTGGGTTAACTTTCACAATTGCATTAATGTAGACAAGTCCTAATGCAATTCCAAACATAAAGCAGAATTACCCTAACCAATTTATATGTTGCAACTCTACATCCAAAGTCAAGATAAATTTCATGACTTCCTGGCTGAATTTCATGGGTTTGTGCAGCTAGAAAGGCCAAGATGCAATATAAATTCACAGAAGACACAGCTTTTCTTTTGAGCCCCCAAAAACCCAACCTGTTCTAACATTTGGATGTAGGTAAATGCTTCTAGATGAAAGATAGGTGACAAACACTTTAAGTGTGTGGATCACTAAGTATCCCACAACACTTTTCACACAATTAAAAGTGCTATTCTCAAGACACCCTGAGTAATTACCTCCTGTCCTTCTAGCTCCACTTGCAGTTTTAGCTGGCTGCAGCATTCTCTGCTTGGCAGTGTAAGAAAGAACATTTTGCTCTGAGCAGCTGCTGCTTTGCACTTCAGTGGTGGATCAACGTGTATAACCTGCAATGGTTAACAACCTTGGAATGCTCAGAAAGAAAACATATATAATTGTTTTTGCTCAGTATGTTTTCCTTTGCATTTGCTATTTTCTCTGTACTGAAGGTCACCACAGATTGGTATTTCAGTAATAGGGAGACTTGACAGAGACTGTGCTTTACAGTATACCAAATACTTGCATGAAAAGAAGCCTTAAGGAAGTCACATTAAGGAAGCCACAATTAAAATAATATTAACTAACTGGAATTTTTGTTAACATTTTCGTTAACATTTTAATTCTGTAAGTATCAATGCTTAAATTTGTTAAATACTTACTTTAAGAAACTTGAAATGTTTAATAAGTTCTTTTAAATTCCACAAGCCTAAAAGTAACTAAGTTCTTCAGCTATTGAAAATGAACGTATTTCCTTCATGCCTGCATTTTTCTGACTGTCACTGTAACAACAGATTTTTATGATTTCTTAAGACAAAACCTTAGCTACCACTACATCTCTTAGAAATAAGTATCAGGTGAAATTGTTTCTAAGTCAAAAGATATTTTTATTCTTGCAGTCAGTCATTTCCATTGATAACAGAAACATGATATTATATAGCTAAGTATAATGGCTAAATGACTACATAAAATTGTTAAAAAATTACCTGTATCTACTGAAAGTGTGATTTAAAAAGTAAATTACTGTACACATCCTCAGAGTCTCAGGATGATACCCTTCTCTTCCCCCTGCCCCATACACACATACACAGTTTTGGCTTTGTTTAATAAAAGACCTCATTCCAAACAGTAGGAAATCTGTTTTCTCCTTTAAAATACCGTGCAACAATTGCAGTCTACTGTCCTACAGTGTAGTGTAAAGTTTGTAAATTTAAAAGTTTCTAAATTGATTGACAATTTAATATACAACAAATTTCATATATATTTTTGCTTTAATCCTAAAAAGTATACCTTAAAATTTTTTTTGATAAAAGGCATGTTTTGAGTTCATACTTGCAAAAAACTCTTGCATGTTGCCTATAAAATCACCCGTCTGGTGATTTTTCTCTTTTCTTTCCTCCTAAGTATTTACTTACTGCCACTAGAGTAGCTTTTCTGATTTTCATCCAAGAAGCAGTCAGGTAGTTTTTGAATTGCAGCTAAAAGCATGAATAATGTTAAGTACAGCTTTTTTTTTTTTCTCCATAATAGGTGATGACATGGACATCACAGTATGGTGGCATTTAGAAAACTGGCTGGGTAGCAGACAAATGGAAACCCTAAAAGCATAATAAATGCACTATCTTCCTTTGAAATTGCTACTCAGAATGTCTTTCCTCTCTACATGCAATGAATCTATTACACATGGATTCTGAGAGTGGATGTGACGCTCCTACTTGTACAGCACATTCTGGTCCAGAGTTCCGAATGCAATATACAAAAGTGTGCAAGTAATCTGTATTCTCTTGTTAAATACAGAACAACTGCTTCATGGAGACATTAAACATTTCACCCACAGTCATTGAATGGCTTATTCTCCATCAGGGCTCAGTCAGTGGTGGTGGTAGAATGGAGCTCATTAGGTCACACACCAAGAATGTTCATTTTCACGTGTAAGTTGTTATCATCTACCTGGCACAAAGAGTTGCTACCAGGAGAACTCTTCCAATTTAAAAAGCTCATGATATAAACATTATTCAGTTGAAAACCTGTAGTGTGGAAAGTTCTCTATTAGCAGAAGCTCAGAAAGATTATAAATAATAGCACCTGAGCAGGTCAGGTCTGCTAAGGACCTGAAAATCCTGTGCAGAACTAAACAGGTCCCTTATGAGAGATCAAGAGGAATCCAAGAACATAGTGCAGGGATAACTGAGGATTTGCAATTGGACCACTTGAAAGATTATGAATATACAAAATATTGTTTCGGGTGTAGGGTCTAAATGCAGGTCTCACTGAAAAAGCCAAGAGACATGACAAGAGCTGCTATTTTGAGTATAAATTCCTGAGGTGGATGATATTGATCTTGTATTTAAAAAAGTAACTGGGGGACTTTTTTTCATATTCTTGTCACTCTACTACTTATTTACCTCTTCCTGTAGCATTTGAAAGATTTACAAGGAGGTTCTGCTAAACACTTCTGGTTTTGTCAGTCTGAAGTTTCCATGCTCTGGGGAATCTCCAGGCATTGTGTGGTGACTGATTAGTCTTTTTTAGAGAACCATGAACAGCTGGAACAGTTAACAAAGTGAAAAACCTTTGAAGTGCAAGCTAAATAGGGAAATATGTTCCTATAACAATCATATATTTGTAGTGGCTCTTTGAATAGGACATTGAGTTTGTATTACAAACTCAGACATATCTATATATAATAAGGACAATCAACCCATTCAAAGTATCAAAAAAACATAGATTACTCTGCTGATAAAAGAGCCACTCAAGGTGGTTTTAAAATTGTTAAAATTACCAAGACTCAGCTGAAGTGAGCTTGTTGAACTATTGTCTGGGATACCTCAACAGTATTGTTAAACTGTCAAATCTAACAATGTTCCATTAATGATTCTAAAAAAGCCTATCACTGAAGCCCTCCAACATTGACCACAAGAGTTTTTCAGGAGAAATACAATTTCATGCAGCTCTGTTAAGAACACTTTTTATTAGAGCAGCAGGAACTGGTTGCTTAGCAATAGTAACTTAGAAGGAAAAGCGCCTGGCCCAGTAAACAAATGTAGGGGGTTCATATGTATGTCTGTGGGTGCATCCATTCATATATATATATATATATATATATATATATTATATATATATTATATATATATATATATATATATACATACACATGCATATATACCCTGATTGTGTATGATTCCCGCTTTTAAAGAGAAGAAGGAAAAAAAGAAAAAGAAAGAAACAATTAGTTCAGGCATGATTTAAAGTAGCTTTCTGAAAAGTAATTTAGAATGTTCATCAACAGCAATGCTACAGACTGTGATAGGAAACCCAGTAGGTTTACAAAGAAAGAAAAGTAAAAGCCAAACTGAAATACTAGGCTGATGAGTTTTATCAGCCACAACAACCTCAGGAAAATACATACTCATCTGTCACAAAGAGTTCTCTCAATATTGAATGCTACAAAGTTATAGATAACACAGATGGCTTTTCCAGTCGGTGATTGTACAAATCCATGTTTTTAGTCATGGGCTGGGAAAAATGAGGAGGTTTATCTAATTTTTTCTGTAGCAGTAGAGACTCCACCAGCCTAGAAGAAACGCTTTGGGGTGATCTAATTGCAGCCTTCCAGCATCTGAAGGGAGGTTACAGGAAAGACAGGACAAGGCAGAATGGCTTCAAACTGAGAAAGGTTTGGTATAGATTAGATATACAAAGGTATTCACTGGAACAGAGAAGCTGTGGATGCCTCATCCCCAGAAGAGTTCAAGGCCAGGTTGGACTGGGGTCTGATCTACCTGCTCTAGTGGATGGTGACCCATGGCAGAGGGTTTAGAACTAGATGATCTCCAGTGTCTACTTCCAACCCAAACTGTTCTATGGTTTTATGTCTCTTAGAAAGTTGCTACAGTGATTATTCCTGCTGTAAAAAATTTCTTTCTTATGTTGGGCTAATCTAAGCAGGTAAAAGCCCTTACCTTTTTCATGTGACTACTTGTGAAGAGACTGAGCTCTTTTCTAATTTAAGAGACAGAATGTAAACAGTTCTGTAAGTGAGGTCCTCTGAGTGACTAAAATCAGGACAGACTTTTCTGGAGGTATATAATATTTGCACTTTGGTCATCCATAAGAGACTGATTGAATGAGAGATGTTTCCTGAATTGCCATCTCTACCTGATGTGCTGTTGGGTTGTATCATTATTAGCTACGAACTGCCCCAGCTCTCTTCAATATCACCAAAGCTCCCTTTGGCATATTTGTCATTTTTCCTCTAATGTCATTAAGCAACATACTAATGAGGATGAATATGAAAAATTATCGTTGAAAAATTTCATTAGTAATCCCTATATAGGGAACACTTAAACATTTTGCATTCTCTTGGTTAGCCAGTTCTTTGTCTTTCTTATCGCTCTTTATTTCTGTGAGGTACACTTCAAGTCATTCTACTGTAGCAATTGAGTAAATTATTAATTTAAATCTAGGTAAGCCATAAAACAGATATATTTGTTTTTTAAGTTTGAAGTTGGGGTTTTTATTTGCTATAAATGCATATTTAAATAAGTAATAATAAAAATTATTTTAAATAAAACCAATTTATATAATATTGCATATTTTATCACTATTTGTTTCCCCGTGTTAATTTGCTGTCCTTGAGAATATATAAAAAGGTGTTTGAAATTTGGGCACCAAAATTAATGCCAGTTAATTTTTTCCACAGTTACAGAGGCTGAGGTGAAGGTTTGCAGAAGGGCTTGAAGAAGCAGAAAAATATTTTTGCATATTACTGCCTCAATACCTTATACTCAAATACTGGACAAAGTAAATTGAATATTAAGTAATAATGCATAATTACACATCCAGAGAGATGGTAATGAAGAGCAAAGCACAACAAACTGTAATCCAATCACAAAGGCAAAGCATGCAAATGAAACAATCAGGTTAAAGATGCTGAATTGGCAGCATTTAATAAAGATTTATAAAGCAAGAATATAATTTAGCACAGCAAAAAAAAAAATCTATTAGCAAATATAATCTCCCTGATGCAATTCCTTTTTGGTACATGTTAATTCTTCTATTAAAAAATGTCCAATGATTTTGTATTGAATATTCAAGGGAACTGAGTCAATATTAGGGAATCATATAATTCTCTGCCAGAAAGGAAAAGATTCATTACAGCTACTGAGAATTCACTTGAACAGATGAAATAAAATATTGCCAAGTTTTAAGTGATACAGGATCCAAGTGCTTAAGACCTATGGAGTTTTCATGGTAACCACTACCCTTGAATCTAGGACATATGATGTCTGATCTGAAAGCAGTCTGCCCCATTATTCCCATCTTAATTTAGATTTTTGTTGATTTCATTCAAATATTATGTTACAAAGTACAAAGATTTACATATACAATAAAACAAGAAATCAAAATATTTTATATTTAATCCTAATGAAGCACCACCTTAGTCAGCAGTTGTGTGAGGGGCAGTACTGTGCCCTGTTTCTGGTCTGAAAAGCTTCAAAAGAGCCTTACCAACCACAAAATTATCACCTACTTCTTAAAATAAGTACAACTAAAGCACTTCGTTTAATAGATATTGAATAGATAGAAGAGATATATTGATTAATTGTCTTTGTGCACACGTATAATGAGCATAAGTTTACCTTTAAATTAACTTTGCTTTTTTATTTAATGAAACACAAATATAGGAGTTCAATATACATCCATTGACTATTGACGTTCTAGAAGATCTAGCAGAAAATCTTTCCTCTTTAGTGTGCTTTGACTACATTTTGACCCACCACAATTAAAACATGGAGTAACAGCATACAGAGTAAAATACAGGTAAATTTGGTTTTTAATTAGCAAAAATTACCAGAAAACATTTAGATTTTTTTGATGTCTGAATTATTCATACACACTGCAGTATGCTTCATGATTCCTACACAAAATAACCATCAATTACATTCTGAAAACATTTACTATACAGCTGCTTTGATTCCCTTCTAACAAGTAATATACACTGTCTACTCCTTTAAAAATGCTTTATAATCTGAGTCAGGGAAGGGGTCTACTTGGTACAGTGTTGGCATTTGAGGTCTGAGCCAATAACCACAACTGATTTCCTAAAGTCATGTGTGTCACAGTTACAGAGGGAAGATAATTTTAGCTAGAATCCCAGCATTTGGATCTGGACCACAAACTGGTTTATAGCCAGCACAAATCTGTAAGCATTTAATCTTCCTGAGGGACCAGAAATTATATTAGCTGTTCACACAGTATAACACTGCCAGAATGCAATTTCTGCTGAAGGGCTCAACACGGGATTTGAGCCCCTTGAAATGCAAGGGCACCACTGGGCATCAGTGCTTTGGAACTGCCCAGATGGGCTTTGCCCCCTCCCTGGTGTTTTCAGCATGCTTTCATTCCTCTCATTCCCTTTAAACAATGAGAACCCTAACTTTAGCACTTAATGACAAGGGAAAGGGGCGTGTGAAGAGCTGAGAACAAAACTAAATATGTCCCTCTGCTAATATAATAATTAAAAAATTTCCCTCTACAACCTTGTTCAGAGCAGCACTTAAGTTTCTCTGAATTCTGTGTTTTTATTCACACTTTAAAGCTATGTGCTTTGTTGGACAAGGGTATTCATACAGATAATAAATGTACTTTTCCTATTTCCATCCAGGAGTTCAAGAACTTTTTTTGCAATAACTAAGGAAAAAAATTAGAAAGCCTTTTTACTATAACAACAAAAATTATGTTGACTTTGAAATAGGAGAGAAAATTTTTTCCTCCATTGAAAAGGCTAAGCATTTTGTAAGGAATTTGAAAACCAAAATCCAGACACTTTTTCTTCTGTTGCTTTTAGCTGCCTGTTTTCTGCACATCAGAAGAAAGAAAAGTGCTTAAAGACACTTTTTTTGAATATTCATCAAAAATTCACATTTCCTGGGAAGAAAGGAACAAAACGATACAATAAAGACCTGCATCAATCAATTAAAAAATCTAGATACTGTTTTGTTTTGTAAGACGGATTTGTAAGAGTTGCTGCATTGCTGCCATGGTGCATGTGTTTGATATTCTGCATGTGCTTCCTGCTTTTCATTCTTGGTGCAAAACAGGAAAATTCTGTGCTGTGACAGCCTAACTATTTACAGTCACCCTGGTGTCACACACACACAGAGAAACAGTGTCTACGTACCATCAGGAACAACTTTCCAACTACTGAGTTGCTAAAACCAAAGTAGTAATGTGCATTCACAGAGATAGAGGATCAGTGAACAGTAAGATATTCTGATATCAAAGTCATTTTTCACACCTCTAGCAAAGTGAATACATTACATTCATTCGTCTGTGTCAAACCTTAATTGTCAAACTGAATTTATGGACTCATAGGGCTTTTAAAAATACTTGTCATCAGAACACGTGCACTATTACAAATTTCATTAAAAGCATATTTAAGGCATGCCAAAGTGTGTTTTCCGTCACCAAAAAATAGTGATCCATTACATGTTTATTTTTGCAGCCAGCTAATGAAATGCAAAGAAAAGTGACAATGCAATGCCTAGTTGCTGAACAAGTGCATATTTTTTTCAGGATGAATAAATTTCTTACAAGGCTGACTTCTGTCAGACTTAGCCAGTGATCAGAATTAAAAAAAAAAATCATCTCTCCTTACTGGTGGGGAGTTTTAGTCACACTTATATATATTTTTTTTAATAACCTGAGTTCTATGTTTCATCTTAGATGTAAATAAATGATAGTGAGCTGGGGATCTTTAAGGTGCCCTTCACAGAAATATATAGTATTTCTTCAAATAGAGATGGATCTCCTAATTGGCACATTTTTTGGGCTGTGTATTGTGGTACAGTGTACTGTGGTGGTACTAATTCCATACTGTAGTGCAGTGTATGGTGTATTCTGTACTTTAAACACTGATCTAGTGCAAGACAAAAAATAATAACAAAAGAGAAATATTTTCCCGAGTTAGAAACCATAAAATCATTAATAAATCTCAGTACATTTCCTACTCATAGCTATGATAGCATTCTTCTATCATTGGATCTGGGCGAAAAACTCCATGGAGGAACCTCTCCAGCCATGAAACTCCTTTGACTTGATATTCAATCAGTGC